GTCATAGAATTGTGTAAAAAATAAAGGACAACAATGAAAGCAATAATAATTTAGGAAGGGAATTATTTTTATAGATTATCATAACTCAAGCTCCTGCACAATTTCTAGTAGTCAAAACGGAAGATTAAATGAGAGATTCTTAAAGCATTCCAAAAATAAGTAAACTTCACGTCGTCTAGGGGAATATGTTTATTTTCCAATTAAATTAGAGGTTGGACAAATGTTAGATAAGCATGTACAAAATTCTAAAAAGACACCATTAAGATAAAGAAGGAGAATAGAAAATATTAGCAAAAAAGTAGAAAAATATTTTCAAATTTAGAAATTACTTTGTCCTTCTTAATCTTTATGACTCACAACAAAATACCTTTTTCACATTCTTTTGTGAAAGAATCTTGTTTGCAGCTGATTGTTGCATGATATTGAAAATTGAAGAGTAAGCTATATAACTTAACAATTTTCCTCTTTTTTTATGAACATAATACAAGAGTTAGACTTTATCACAAAGATCTAAATATTTTTCTTTCATTATAGTAGATAGGGATTTCAAATTGTGTTTGGTCCATATATGTGTATTTTTATCAAGACATTTTGTTGATGAATGTATAGCAAATTTTGATAAATTTTTGTTCGAATTATGAATTTGGCTAATGTAAGATTTAGATACAAAAATGCTAGCACGTGCAGGACTCGTGAAATTTTTTCATACATTCACATACTTATTGATCAAAATGTTTCAATTTGGTGATTGTATATTAGAATTTCTTTTATGTTCCGTAACTTTATCCCTCTTCCATACGTGTTTGAAACATTCCATTTAAAAATTACACGTCATATGGGAATTAAGAAATGAGGTAGTCTATTTTCTTATTTAGATTAGAAAACTCACCCTTCAAATTATCAAATATGACAAAAGAGGCAAGCATGACTTTTCAACCTTAACATTCCATTACCCCTATTTGAAAGGAACATTTTGTCACACCCACCATATTCTATTCCCCTTTCCTTATCCACTTGCACCTATACATGGAAGTTCTAATATTTCTTTTCTTCAAGTCTCATTTTGCAGTACTCACAATACCTTCAAGGGATTATTTTGGGCTTCCCAATTCATGCATTGATAGCAATTAGATCTTAGATGAAAATTTTGTCCCCTAAGTTTAAGGTTTTGCATTCATACAGAAAACATCCAAATGCGATAGGTTGGAGAGTTATATTAGAAAATTTTGATTAAATCTTGCAACTAATTAAGACTATATTGAAATGTGTCTTCGAGCAATCAAATCTTTGTTTTCTCTTTCATCAACTATGACTCCCCAACATTTTTCTCTTAATTTTAAAGATCTAGTCATTTCAAAAAGTTTTTCTCATTTTTTTCAGAAACCTTCTGGTGGCTTGATACATCTAAAACCAATATCAAGTAGCGATTTCCTTTTTTTTTTGGCAAAAAAATCTTTTTTAGACTGTCTTTTTAGGCCGAAATAGTCACATTTTTAAGTTCCATTTTTATTTTTAAAGTCAAAATCCATTTCTTTTTTTTTTTGAAAAACTATTAATTTCTTTTTATCCAAAGAAAGGGACTTTTTTCTCTTTGGATTAAATGGATTATGAATTGCCTGAATTTTGTGTCTTATTCCTTTAATATTAATAGTGATAAACTTGGTTGTGTCTTGCCTCTTAAAGGGGAAGCACACATTCCTTTCCTTTCTCTCTGCCACTTTGATCTCTTGTGCCTTCAGGAGGAATCAGGCAAGGGGATTCGCTCCCCCTATCTATTTCTCATTTGTACTGAGGAAGTTACTAGTTTGCTCAAGCAAGTGAAAGAAAGAAAATAAGAGGGCTCATAATTTCAAGGAAAGGACAAAAACTATCCCATTTATTCTTCACTAATGATTCCTTAGTCTTTTGCAAAGCTTCAACAAGGGATGCAAGGGAGATTAGGAGAATACTCAACTACTATGAAAGAGCATCAGGATAAGAAATCAACGTTTGTTTTCAGCCATAATGCAAAGAATAGCCAAGCATATGAGCTGCTACAACAATTGGGAGGAATTCAAAGAGTGCATCAAGGAAAATATCTAGGACAACCATTGGTGATTGGAAGATCAAAGAATCAGGTTTTGGGATACATTAAAGGAAACGGCACGAATGGAAAGGGAAAATGCTAAGCCGAGATGGAAAAGAAGTGTTGTTGAAATCAGTTGCGATAATCATGCTGAATAATGCTATGTCAGTGTTCAAGATGTCAAAAGCTATTTGTAAAGACCTGTGCTTATATATGGCCAAGCTTTAGTAGGGCAGTGATTAGGGAGACAAGAAGATTCATTGGATCAATTGAAGAAAATCATAGAAGTCAAAGGCAAAGGGTGATTGGGATTCAGGGACTTGCAACAATTTAATTCTATTTTGCTAGCCAAACAAGTAATGGAGAATTCTCACTACTCCAAAGTTGTTGGTTAGCTAAATAATGAAAGAGTACTTTCCCACAACCCCAATTCTGAAGGCCTAATGCATTCCTAAGAGTATCACGGATATGGTAGAACATATAAAGTGCTATCAAATTGATAGAAGAAGGGACATGGAGAATTATAGGTGATGGGAGAAGTATCAAAATTTGGTAAGATAGATTGATACCACAAACCAAAACTGGGAAGTTATCAGCTGCAAAGCCAAGTCTCTGTGAAATAAACAGAGTGAATCAATTGATTGTTTGGCTGAAGAATGGAATAAAAAATTAATTCAATCTTTATTCTCTCTAGAGGATTGCATATCAATTTTGAGTTACCCCCTCAATCTTTTTAGTGGCAAGGATAAGATTAAGATAGGTTCACAACTCTACAGGGGTTTAAATGGTGATCTCTGGGTATTCCCAAGAAAAGTCAAAGAATCAGATGGAGGAGAATGACAAGACTGATGGGAGTAAGCCTAGCAGTAATAGTTTAATGGCAGGATTGTGGAAAAATATATGGGGACTTGATATCAACACAAAATCAAACATTTCATATGGAAGTGTCTGAACCATATATTCCCCCCAAATGAAGTTCTACAAAAAAGCAAAAAAGAATGGGAAAAGGCAATTCTATATGCAAGAAGTGTGGTGACTGGTGAGGACATTGAAACACTAGAACACATGTTCTTCTCCTGCATTTCTGTTCAAGATGCAAGGAATGCAGTCTTTGTACAATGGGATGGATTAGCAGTCATGCATGGAACTTCCAAGTACGGTGGATCCAACTTTAGGAAGTAGTCAAAAGGAATAAAGGGAAGGAGGCATATTGCATTGACTCTGAATCTGCTGTGGCCAACACACAAAGGTAGGAACGAAAGTTGCTTCAATGATAATGAGCAAACTAGATTCTGGATTTCCAGGAAAGCCACAGAAGATTGGGTGGGGGCCGGGGGAGGGTTCCTAAAAGTAAACAGGCAAGGGAGAACCACAGAAGAAGCAATCCTAGCAATGTACAAGCAGCTTGTGCTAATTCTTCAAGTGACTAGCAAAAGATTTTGACTGTTAAAAACACAGACAGCATCAAAAGTATAGTTGGTTTGTGAATTAGATTGAGAGATGGATTGGGAATCCCCAAAGTCACTTGGGCACTACCAGTCGAAGAATGCGTGAGGCCAAAATTGTTGATGCTTTAGCGATACTAGAGGCAATGATGCTGGCAATTGAAAAGAGCTAGCAGTAATTAGTATTGGCTCTCAAAAGTAGTAAATAAGATCAACCAAAAAATTGTAGATAGTTGGAAGCTGCAAAACTGTTTTTGTAAGTGTAGTTTTCTTTTTATGTAAAGAAATAGGAAAATCATGTTAGCAATTGTTTGACAAAATTTACCATTCAACTAAACCAAAATCCTATGTGCGAAGCATATAGTTTTTTATGTGCCTTAAAATGAGTGTACATGTTTATATAAATGATTATTACAATGGTACAATACGAATGACTTTTGACCCAAAAAAAAAAAAAAACTCTATCATGTTAGTAACTGTTTGACAAGATTTACCATTACTAAACCAAATCTTAAAGGGTTCATTACCTTTCACCCTCTATGGTTTGGGCTTTACCACATAAGCCCCTATAATTTAAAACCTATATATAAGTCTCTTATGGTTTGGGTTAAAGTGTCACTATTAGTTTTCTGTTAAAACTAACAGTTAATAGTAAAAAGTCAAAGTCAAATTAATAAATTGACAAATTCACCTTATCAGTACTTTTTTTCTTTTTCTTCTCTCTCTCTCTCTCTCTCTTTTGGGAAGAGAAGAGATTATTTTGAAAACCTATAATTTAAAATACAAAATATTAACTTTCTCCAATTACAAAACAAATGGAAGGGAAATAAATAAATAAGAAACAAAAAAGATGGAAGTGAGATATAAAACAAATAAATAAGAAACAAAAATACCAGTTTTTTTTACTACAAATATCATTATAGGTTTTTAAATCAAAATTTTAATGGTATTTTCCAGTTCTTATTTATGTAGTTTTTGCTTCAATTTCTTCTTTTTTACGTTTGGAGGGAAAAAAGAAGTAATAAAAGTATAAATTTGTCAATTTATTAGTTTGATTTTGACTTTTTACTATTAACCATTAGTTTTAACGAAAAAAATTAACAGTGATATTTTAACTCAAACCATGAAGAGGTTATATATAGATTATTAAACCATAGGGAGATTATATGGTAAAGTATCAAATCACATGAAAATAAAAAGATAATTTACCCAATCTTAAATGTGAAGTATAGTTCGTGTGCACCTTAAAATAGAGACCCATCCAAATTTTACAGTCAGTAGTCTCTTAATTGTACATGCATACATAAATGATTACTACACTGACACAATACAAATGATTTTTGACCCAAAAAAAAAAAACTCAAAGGCACAAATTGCACGTAAGGCCAAAAAAAAAAAGAGGAGAAATTAGACAATTACTCGATTATCACCAAACAAATGCACAAAATCCACTAATACGGAGACTCCAAATCTAAATCGGAAATGTAGCTGACACAAAGGAGGCGCAATTAGAATGCCACGTACTGCCTCCCGCGCTTCACATTTTTAGCTCCAAATTTCCCCTCCCAACACCCAACTAGAACCTCCGAGTGAAGAAGGCCGGCCATGGCCGCCGTGGCTAGCACCACTTCTATTCTCAACAACTTTCCAAGAATCAACAAATTTAAAGAAAGCCCTTTTCTCAATTATCTCTCCATCAATTATCTCTCCAGAGGGGTTTTCCCTACTGAGAATTGCGCAAGACCCTCAAAAATGACAATTTGCAGGACCCAAATGAAAATGGTTAAACCCAATAGCTTCAAGAACACTTCTTTTGTGAATCATAATGGTAGAATTTACAACAGGCTTGAGTCTTGTTTGGTCATTCCTCCTCCAAGAGGGAAAAAACCCAAAGCCATTATTAAATTCTTGGGAGGTGCTTTTGTTGGAGCTGTCCCTGAAGTTACTTACAGGTCAATCAATATTCGCCTGTCGTTAATATCTCTGTTTCAAACTTGACTATTAGAGTTGATAATTTTCAAGTCTTTCTTTCTTTCTTTTTTTTTTTTTTGCTATTTTGATGAAGTGCTGTTAGATTTCTGGGGTGGAACATTTTAATTTAATTTCTGGATTAATATATGTGGCTACTTGCTTGTCCAACTACAGTTTTAACACACTATATAAGATTAATCCTTGAGTTAATTCTTGAAACACAGAAACTAAAATAAATTTGCTTGTAGCGTTAATTTTTTTTTTATTGGAAGATTTTTTCCTCTGGTTGAAGTAATTTTTTTTTAACTCGGGAAAAGAAGGAGGAAACATTGCGCTGGAAAAACAAGGTCTGCTTGATTGAAATTCAAACTGTGATGACATTGCGCTGGTGATGTTTACTACAGAACAGAGGGTTGTTAATTCAATTTTTTCTACTGTAAACTAAAATGCTAATAGAGTCTTATGATCTGTTTTGTTTGATTAGTTGTTTTTGTTGTGGTGGCAGCTATTTGCTGGAGCAACTGGCAAATGAAGGCTATTTCATTATCTCGGTGCCATATAACGTGACATTTGATCATGAAAAAGTAACTAGGGAGATTTATGAGAGGTTTCATGCTGGCTTTGATTTGATTTTGGGGTCTGAATTGCCAGAATATGGCCTTTCACCTGATGATATTGTTGATCTTCCACTTTACTCGGTAGGCCATAGGTGAGTGGAGGTTAATTGAGCATTAATGATCACAAATTAAACTTCATAAAGCCTTAATTGTGTTGTCTAATGTTAGTTTGTATGTTCAATGATATACTTTGTCCCGAGGATGTTAGGCATGTCCTCTTTTTTTCTTGAGGAATCTTTACATCAATGTGTATTGGAGCTGCTAACCTTCATAGCAACATTCATTTTATCATAGTAGAGGTTCAGTAAAGCTGTTTTGGAGCTGAACATGGGATAGTTGTCCAATGAATTGTTTTTTGAACATAAGATGATCGAGTTAAGCTTGGATAGATTGGAGGAACTTGTGACTGATTGAATTAACAAAATGCTGGGAACGTTTAATTTGAAATGGTGAGGGTGATGAAGAAAACTTCAAGGTTAAAGATCTCGCTAGTACTCCTAAGTTTCATTCTGATGAGACTGCGTTATAGATAACCATGCCTAAAATGCTATCTAATTTATCTAACTTTTATTTCATTCTTATCACGAAACTATCTTTGACATTATTTGGTTTAACTATAATTGCAGCAATGGTGCACTTCTACAAGTGCTTACTGGAAGTTATTTTTGTGAGAAGATACCCAAGGTTCCTTCTTTCTTCCAAAGTTTCATAAGTGCTTAACCAAAATTGAACTTAATTAAGATAAGAAAAATATAACTAAAAAGTTATGCTTTTGCAGCTTTAATGTGTGAAAATGCACTGTAGTTCAGTGTTTAGTACTTTTTGACTTAATGAAGGTTATACTTGTCTCTCAATGAAGGCAAATGCAATAATATCATACAACAACAGGCCAGCGTCGGAGGCAGTACCATACTTTGAGCAGGTAATTCTGTTCCAATGCTAATTTAAGGGGCTTAGCTGTTATCCTGACTATCCAAAAATAAAAAATGGTGGCTTTTAACATTTTTTTGCTGTTGAAGTTGAGCAATTAATCTTTATTAAATTGGATGTTTGCTATTTTTTTATTTATTTCAATGCTAAAGGTCTTTCTTTATTTAAGTATGGGCAAAAAACCGCGATGGTCCTCAAACTTTCAACTTTGCGCATTTTTAGTCCTCCAACTAATAAGCGCGTAAATATAGTCCTCCAATTAATAAAAATGTGCAGTTGTAGTCCTTCCATCCCATTTGACCATTAAGACGGACGGAAAACACATCATGGACTGCTCACATGACATTTACTGGGTTAATCTCGTCAGCAAAACAGAGGGACTTTCCATTCAACAGTTTTGTTAGAATAAAATGGACAATTTAAAAAAGTTTTGTAAGCTTCCATCAGCGTTTTTGGTCGGAAAAAAATTTGCACTGTAGCAACACCTGGCATCCTTCAAAATCCGTTTGTATCTTTTCTTTTCTGACTATCACTTGAAAGTCCAAACGTAAGAAAATCCACCTCTCTCTTCCTTTCTTTTCGATTCAATTGGAATCGCAACTCCCGAACTAGCTATAAAGAGGAAATACCAGAAAAAAGAAAGAAAGAAAAAGCCCAGCCCCAGAATGGGCGACAAACAAAACAGAGCTGCACGCAAAAGGTTGGTGGAATTACAAATCAGGATGAAGAAACATTACCGTCCCTCACCGTCCATAAGATAAGCCTACCTAGTGGTGGGGACGGAGACTCTACTAGAGTTATTTGGAGGCAGTAGTAGCAGCAGCAGCAATTGGATGTAAATCAGAAGGAGGAGGGGAAGGAGAAGACAGAAAAAGTTGAATTTGGTCCATGAAAGAGAGATGCTGGGGCCTGTCTTTGCACTTGACGTATCCTTTGGCCTCTTTCTCGGAGTAGCATTGGTATCCCTTCTCCCCGTTCCTCTTCCAGAGTGCCTCCACGTAGGTTGAGTGTGCGTAGTAGGCCTCAGCCACTATAGGAAGGGGTTCATGATCGTGGCACTCCTCCTGGATGAGGACGACCCTGATAGGCAGACTCTCGTAGTGACCGCGAATGACGCCCTCCAAGTCGTCCATGCGGGCCAATGCCCTTGGGGAGACGGAGTAGAGCTCGCCGGAGACAGGGTAGCCGTGGCCGTGAAAATTGAGCAGGAAGGGAACTCTGTAGGGCTCATAGATGCCCCTCCTAAAACAGGGGGTTGAAGTAGATGCCCCTCCTCCTAATTTTCCACTCCATCGTTCCTCTGGGCAGACATCAACACCTCACCGATCTTCTTCCCTGCTGCAATCTCTTGACCGAAGGAGTATCTAGGGTTTTGCAGAGGCTGGTGAAGAAGAAGTTCAAAGTGCATCCGACGTTTGAAGTTTTTGAGGGGCTTTCTTGCTCTTTGTACTGTACTGACGAGATTACTCTCAATAAATATCATGTGAGCACTCCATGATGTGTTTTCTGTCCGTCTTAACGGTCAAATGGGACGGAAGGACCACAACTGCACATTTTTATTAATTGGAGGACTATATTTACGCGCTTATTAGTTGAAGGACTAAAAATGCGCAAAATTGAAAGTTTGAGGACCATCGCGGTTTTTTGCCCTTTAAGTATTTACAGTACTTACCCTTATTCCTTCATACAAAAAAAGAAGAAAGAAAATTGCCCTTTTTGCCCCCTTCATCTCTAACTGCCATAACTTGGGCTATTCATGCAATGCTCCTGGGGAAGGAAAAATTTGCAGTTTATGCTTTAGTTTCTTTCATGTTCCTAGTTCTGGCTTTTACTGGCTTCCAAGGAACATGGAGGGGGATTTCCTTTTCTTATACAGTTGTGGCCATGAACTCTTGGAGGCCACCCTTCAAGAGCCCAAAAACCTTTGGGGATTTCCTGGCTGGCTCATAATGACTAAAGAGCTGTTATGTAATATGTGAAGCTGGGAATGGACTTCTATGGGTAGATTGAGTAGTTCAAAACAATGTTTAGTGAGTCAGGATGCATCTGTGTTATGCCACTTGCTGAAATAGTCTCTATGAGTTCATGCACAGGATGGCAGCAACTCGTGAGTGTAGAAGTTGGTGTTGCACCTGCACCCTAGTTGAATCCTGCAAATTGATTCATTTCAGTGGTATCTGACAAATTTGCTTAGATTTGGGTATTCTTTCATATATATCATTTTTACTATGGATAATAAGATTAGTTTGTAAAATCATCCATTTCGATTTGTATATAGGGCATTTTGTTTCCCTCTTAGTTCTGACCATGTGACATAAGAGCTGCTGCATACTATGCCAAGCAGGTAATGGTGCTCTAGGGTGGATCAAATAATTGTAGCCACGGTTTAGCTAGTGTGACGCAGGACATGAAAGACATCAATAAATCGAAGGAAAAAAAACTTCAGTTTCACAATCTTTTAGCTCTGGAATTGATTTAAGATTCAGATTGTGGTTCATTTGCCAATTTTCAGTGTGCAACTGTTGAGCTTGTTGCTGCAACTTTTGTTGGTAAGTAGTTGGCTGCCTGATAATGATACTGTACTTGAAACTAGTAGTGGAAGTCCAAGGGTAAAGCATACTTGGAAGTCCAATGGGTAGGCATGGGTGGACTTTCAAAGAACACCCATGGTTGGGAGTTCAATGGTCATCCTACATAGCTACTATTGTAGTGGACAACAATTGCCACAGACTCTACTCTTGAATGGCTGCTTTTGTTTTACAAGAGAAAGCTTTTAGGTTGCTGTGTTAGACTTTTTGAATAGCTTGCATTAGTTTTTGTAAATGAGGGTGAGTTTGAATCAAGAAAGTTTCAGAACGAAACCCCTCTTAGTCTCTTACCTGTGAAGTCTTAGTAGTCATCTTTCCTTCCTTCCTTTCTTTTGCCCTTTACCTCTCCTAATCTCTAATTAACCTCTACTTCTTAAATCTAATTTCTGCTCAAATTTCACCAGCCAAACAGCCTATTCTTTCATTGCCTCTCTGAATCTTCAAACCAATATATAGGGTAAATTTAAAAGAATCGTGGTTTCTATTGAGGATCTATGATAGCGATGCAACTGACTGATGTAGTTTGTCTGAGTTCATGAACAGGGAACTCTACGATTTGTGAGTGTAGATGCTGGTGAAGCGTTGCACTCTAAGCCCTCCCCCACCAGTGAAGTAAAAGTCATGTCCTGTAGATATTTGACGTTTATCCAGCTGCTGCCATTTCTGAGAGCATACTTGGTGGATGAAGGGCTCTTTAGCTACTAAGATTGCTTTTCATTATCATGCCATGGCATGAGTTTATTACCTTTTTCAAGTGCAATTCTACTAATCCTTCAATAATCCTATGGATAGTAACATCTTAGTTGTCGAAAGATGTATACATGACCCATTGTGTCGGATCACATGCCTATCATCCTCAAAATCTCCTTAATTGTCATGCTATTCCCTTTACATTGGAATATGTATAAGATGTAAAATGTTAAAACAAACATGAAAAAGCTAATGCATAAAGGAATGTAAAGGTGCCATCACATCAATGTCATACTATGACTGTCAATTAACAAAGAAATTTTTTTATAATATTTCAGATAGTATATGCTCACATAATGGGTGGGTTGAGAGTAACTTATATTGCTTCAGCTATGCCATGAAGTTGATGTAAAGTGAAGATTTTTTTTTTTGGAAAGGAAATAATTGGTGACGTTAGAGGGAGCAAGAAAATGGGTAATCTTATAAGTGAAACAGGACAAATGGTAACTGAAGGTAGCAGCTCAGAAAATAAAGGGAAAAAAATGTGAAGTAGAAAGTGTAATATGCAGTTTATAAATTAAAAGAGTGTCCATAGTAGATTGCATATATTTGTGGAAATGGTATGTCTGTACATATTACTGACTTTGCACTTCATTTCTAGATTTTTCTGCTTTGAGTATTAGCATCTATGCTTCTGCTTGCTGATGGCTTCTACAGCAACTAATGCACTTTTGTTCATTTGTGATTGTTGTAATTTTGTCCTTATACTGAACTGTTCACCAATTAGTAGTCATCCAAAGGGTGAAGTCATATCAGTCTTCCATTCATTCAAGAATACAAATTAGTTCAGTATAAAAGGGAATCGACGTAAACAACATTATAGTTAACATATCCATGATCTTGGTGATGGTTTAACTGGAGCCAATCAACATTGAGGATTATATGGAAATTTGGATCTAAACATTTATCTAGTTTGTTTAATTTATATTTTGATATTGCATAAATATTATACCTTGAGATTTGGTGGATCAATTTTGTCATATGTTTTTGAACCTTAATTTCATTTTAAATCTTATATACCAAGGCGGAGTTGATTGTAAATATGCTTATATGATGAGTTGTTACTATACTCGTTCAACTGGTAGGGCTCCAGTTTCTCAGCCCTTGCTTTAGAATCCGTGTCAAATTTTGTCTCCTGCCTCTCAAAGAACTAATATTGCTTTTGTAACATTCCTCATTTTTGAAGTTGTATTATGCTATGATGCAGTTAGGACCTCTTGTCAGTCAAATATTTCCAATTATGGAAGCGTCTCCAGTATATTCATTCACTCGAAATGCCTCAGGTTGATCACAGTGAAAGGTTTCTTAATTTTCTTGATACTTCTTTAAAATTAAACATCATTAGTTATGTTGCTTTAGCTACTCATACATCAATGCTGTGTTAGTCTAATAGAAATCTTTTGAATCCCAGGATTAATTGTATGCTCTTTACAAAAGCGGGCTACTGAGAAATTGCCAAATCAATCCCTCTGTTGTTAATATAATCACCATTGACATTAGCTTTGATGAGAAACAGTGTGGCTTTGTTTGGACTCTTGAAGGTCATTTTTGCTCTCACCTTCCCATGATCCAATCACCATTGACATTAGCTTTGATGAGAAACAGTGTGGCTTTGTTTGGACTCTTGAAGGTCATTTTTGCTCTCACCTTCCCATGATCTAACTTGTAGTTTGGGTTAGGTGGAGGAATTTGTGTTGTAGACTGATGAGTATTGGTGGAGTGCAAAAAGGGATGGGGTGGTAGGGAATGTTTCCTGTTCTGTTTTATTTATCTATTGTAAATTGCAGTGATAGTGTAGAACTATTTTCTTTGAGTTAGTCTAACTTTTTAGGGTTAAGTTCTGTATAAGGGTGTTAAACAACAGAGTGGAAAACTGGTTACCTATGAGGTGGTTTATATAGAAGAACTCTATTGATGGTCATAGATAGCTCAAGAATGAGGGGTAGGTCTTAGGCTTTTCAGAAACTAGCAAGGCATGCTGTAGAAATTGTATCCTACAATTTGTGTCGACACAAATACTTGTGGAGCTACTAATGTGTGGATATCCTGAATTTGTAGCCAAATCAAAGCTTCTAGTTGTAGGTTCCAACTTTATTATCCACAGATTGACGATCTGCACTCAACATGGTTGGGTAGTTTTCTATCTGCACTTAATTGAGTAGTTCGTGTGACTGTTGTGACATTCTTGCCAATGTTTATTTACCTTTTTCATTTTCTCTTCTATTCGGAAAACAAACCTTCTGTTAATGTAATGGAGGATGAGTACATCTACCGTATTGGACAAAATTTGAATAGGTACCACCAGTTTGATTTAATCTTATACTAATTCCCTGTCCTGTGCAACTCTTTGGGTTCCTGAAGACCAATTATTTGGAACTATAGTTTGCTGAAGTGTCTCTACCCTTGATTTCCTTATACATATGCTAAAAGAAAATCTTCTTGCAAATGTTGTTTTCTGAGGCCTTGAAACATACGCAAGATTACCCAGGCATACAAGTGCTCTTGGTCCTGATTCCATTTTAATGCTTTGAAAGAGGCCTCAACAATATCTGCATTAAACAGAAAATGAGACATTATTTGATTTTTTTTTGGGGGGGGGGGGGGGGGAGTAAGTGAGAGATCCCAGGTAGGACTGTCAATGGGGCTGGGCCAGCCCGAGCTCGGCTCGTTCGGCCCGACAGAAAGCCCGATGAGCCCGATCATTTAGTGAGCCGGTCTGAGCTTGAGCCTAAAAATTAGGCCCGAATTAATGTGAGCCGAGCTTGGGCCTTATTAGGCTCATACCCGATATAGGCCCGGCCCCTTTAATTACACATATATATAATATTTATATTTTGATATTATATAATTATATATCCAAATATATTTTTGCTAAATACTAAATATATATATAAATTACAATTACAAAACACAAAAACACATCTAAAGACTCTTTCATGAGCTTTCTTGAGAGCCAATATTAGTAATGCATAACTAAATCTCTAATTTTTCTTATTGGTTGAGTAACTTTTTGTATTGGCATATTATTGGTTGATTTTTTTTTTTGGTCTACAAACACAAAATCATCAAGCATATTTGGATTTAAATCACAAGATTATAAAAAAAAGTTTCAACTTTTAAAGATGTATTGGCTTATGATTGCATGTTTTATTACTATTTTTCATGCATTTTAAACGGATTACATATAAATATTGTTGAAAAAATTTTGGTTTATATACTTTTTAAGAACTATTATTTGTTCATGTTTAGTTTTAATATTATAGTCTTGTAAATGTTAAATTAGTTTTACAACTTAATAGTTATACTAATTATATTAAGAAAATTCAGGAGTAATAAGTGAGCTTGGGCTAAGCCCGATTAAGGCTCACAACCCGAATATTATGTGAGTTGAGTATGAGCTTCACATTTACGAACCCGAAGCTCATAGCCCGAAGCCCGAAAATGTCTCAAATTAAATGAGCTGAGCTTGAACACATCAAAGCCCGGCTCATTAGGGCCGATTGACAGGCCTAATCCCAGGTTCAAGCCCTCCCACTTACACTAAAAAAAAGGAGACGTTATTTGACATTTTGCAGAGAGTGTACTTCATTGCAACTTTCAAATGTTAATACGTGCATTTTCATTGTAGATAGCAAGTGTAGCAGTAATAACAAAAATAATTTTTTCGGTTTGTACAAAACTTAATAATTAGAAATTAGAAAAAGAAAATGAATCATTAACTATAATGAATTTGTACTTTTGCATATGGTTTCTTTTTCTTAAATTTGCAAATGTTTACTAACAGTTAATTCCTTGTGTGGCCTAAACATTATTTTCCTGAACCATAGAGGCTTCCCCCAACCCCCCCTCTCCCTGATTGTTGTGGGTGGGGGGGGGGTGGGAGGGGAGGTGGGGGAACTGGGGAGTCTGCACATGCTAGGCTGTAATCTACGAGTCCTCCTAAGTCCTTCCTTCACATAACCCACATAATGTTGTTTCTCATTTATTCCTGAAGATATGAGCATGATGGACACTGAAGCAAGTAGTGTATTCATTTAATCCTTGATCAAGCTAATGGTGCATAAAGCTTTTATAACAATGCGATGCAGAATGATGCTTGAAAACTGGGCTTTATCAAGAAGAGAAACTTAATGCATGAAGTGTTTTTATGTCAGGCTTTAGATCATCTAAAACATCGGTCTTATATTTTGTGTCAAGGGAGTAGAATATTATTTTTAGGGTCTTAGGGAATACAGAGATATTTACTTGCAAATAATGGCAGGTTATGTTTCGTGTACTTTATTATTCATGAAGAAGCAATAGAGCACAGTAGTGACATATAATTAACTTGTCCTTTCATTTTTTATGATTTATAAGAAACAGAAATCAATTCAAGACCTTGAAATTATTATTTTTGAAACTTTTATTAAATCCTCCCCAAGTTTCACAATTACCAAATATAAGGTATCTCTGTAAACCAAGGCAAGCCTTCAAGTAGTAATGAAAATATCCTGGTACAGGTTTTAAAATCAAATTGGGATTTTTTTCATAGGTATGATACAATGCTTCATTTGATTGAAGACATATGGCTGATGAGGTTGAATCAAATTGTCATCTTTCTGATTCTAATGCCTTCTTTTGTCATTGATACTAATATACAGCAGATGCATGGAAAATACTACTTGATACTGCTGGAACCATGATTCCAGATTACGATCCAGAAGTGGCAGTGTCAGTCAACAAGTTTGTTGATCAGTTGCCGGCTGTTTTTAATCAGGTGACACCCCACTTACATGATGATGTCTATCCAACCTGGAAAACAAATCCTGCCACCTTTGTGGCTGAACATGTCTATATCTCCATCATTTTTCTGTCAAATGGCAAAATGGCTTTGTCGCTCTTTCTGTCTTCTGGTCATTCTCTAATCCTCAAACTGCCTCAAATGGATGTTACTTCAGCTTGCTGAAGGAATTTCGGAGTTCAGGCCAACACCCTCTGAGAATCTTGACTGTTTCCAGAAGTCATACAATGTTCAGCATACATTACTGGTTTGAGCATGTTATTCAAGTACCAGAATTGATTGAATTGCTCCAACTTCAATGTTCACTTTTAAGTCTATCTGATTCTTTTTTCAGGTCAAGTTCAATGTTGATGCAATTGATCAGACTGATCTCCTTGAAGAGACACTGAAGCCTCGAGTGGAATCTATTGGTGGAAAACTACAGAAAATAACATTGAATGGAACTCATATTACACCTTGCATACAGGTATGCTGCAGTAACTTTGTGCTCCTTTTGTATCATAATCTTTAGTCCTTTGCTTTCTGGGAATTTAGGCTGACATGTTGTGCTGCGCCTTGTATCTTGTGCCAATTGTGTATGTATTACTTAGCATGATCTTTAAGTTACTTTTGATAAAAAATTGGAAAGTAGCACGGTAATCAAAACAATGGCATGGTCAACGATTGTTCTCTTACTAAATGTCTTCTTTTTATTCTCCATTTATGCTGAAATTTGTTTTGTTGGGCGATCAGGAACCTAGATGGCAAGTGGGAGATATATACTCGCCTGTAGATGCCGTTGCTCAAGGTCTTAAGACAATTTCTTTGAACGACACTAGAGTCCTCACAAGAACAATTACAGATTGGTTTAGTCAACTTGAAGGATAGAGACACATAAATCAGACCCATGATGCGGCAATATCTGAATCGTGTGAATCCTTCCTGGTAGTGGGTTGACCTTCTTCCCTTTGAGTTGTTTGCATAGAATTTTTCTCGGAAAGTTTTGCATGGAAAAGCATCCTATGTTTGCATAGAACTTTCTAGGAATTTGCAGGGAAATGCATCCTATGATGCATAGGATGCAAGGAATTTGGTTAGATATGATATAAATACGTAATTTTGATAGTTGTAGGCATCATTACATGGCTTGTGAAATATAAATCTCAGACACTTTGTCTCTGGAGTTCTGCGCACACTCACACAGATGCTTCTTCAAAAGGCACGTCAACATTTAGCTTACTTTTGGTAATTGATACCAGCAATCAGTTGTTTTCTACTTGGTGATACTGAGATTTATGTGGTAGCCTTGTGCATAGTCTGCGGGGAGGGGCAGACTGTACATCTAAATCTCCTATTAGCATCATCTGATACGCTTTGTCACGTCTTGTAATCTTTTCCTTTAGGTGTATGTCTTTTGCAGCGTGGAAAAAGACTATTTTATGGCTTTTCATCAAATCCTGCATGAAAGTTTAAAGAGGCATTCAGTAATTGAAGTAATTTGAGCTCTATTAGATCATAGATTTCTTGTCCATCAGTTGCACCAACAATCACTGGCACGAATTGCATCTATTGAATGAATTGATTTAGGGCTAAGCAAAGAATAGCCGCACAAGGTTTGAGCCTTTATTTATTTTTTTTGGTTGCCCGCCCGGTATCCGAGGCTTTGCCCCGACTAATCCGGACCCGATCCGGGTCGCGCACCTGGCTATGGTAGGAGAGTCTCCCAACAGAGGTGTCTGCATACACTAGGAATCGAACACGAGACCTGCTTAAGCGAATCCGAGTCGCTTACCACTCGGACCACTCGGACGAGCCTTTATGTTTCTAGAGTACTCTCAATTCTTTCCTGAAACTTCAATATTATTAATCCGAGGCCATAATTACAAGACCTGAGCTTTCCTATTTCTCTATGTTGTTCAAGGACTCTTCCACTTCCAACACGTAAGTTTGTTATATAACGCCATGGTATTTGTTGAGAAGTATTTGTGTTTAAAGGACACTAAAAGTCTCATTTGGATATTAATTTGTCCAAAAGGACAGATGGATGAGCATAAAGGACTGATACAACCATTATTTGTCCAAAAATTACTATATTATTAGCTACTAGAGAAATCAATTTCTAAGTCATACCAGCGTATAAACATAGGCTTCATGTTTTAATTTTGAAATTGTGTGCAAGATGCTAAGGCACTTCTAACCTGCACCCTCTAAATTATTTGCTAAATCAATTAAAGAAAAAATTATGCAATACCGTATACAAACAAGATTATGCAACACAATATTTATACAATAAGATAAAGAAATAGGAAGGAAATATTTACATCTTCTTCCCCCACAGCCGGTGCAGTCTCCATCCCTCCTCATCTGTCCACAATACAATGACAACTTCAGAAATGTGTGCAATTTTTCTATAATCTTCAGTCTCTTCATTTAGATTCTCTAGCTTCTCCATCAGTTGAGAACTCAACCCAGACAAATACAGCTTTCGAAGTTGGCTCAAGTGTTGAATTCCCAAAGGTAACTCCTCTAGCAATGGAAGTGTATGCAGAGTGAGTTCGTGGAGACTGGGTAATGCACCCTCCTCCACTTTCAGCCATTTCAACTTCTCTAATTTCGCTAGGTACAAATCCTTTAACTTCGGGAATCCTCCAGCCTTGAAAAACAGCCCCTCTCCTTGGTAAGATCCACAAAAATTAATCCTAACCAAATTTGGCAAATGGTGGAGGGGTTCAAGCGGATCCTCTTCATCCCTTAAGCCACTCCAATCCAAATCTATTCTTACCAAGCTTTGAAGATGAGCTATCCATTGTGGCATCTTTTCTAAGCGGCCACACAATACTAGCATACGAAGAGATTGGAGAAATGTTGTTGAAGGCATTTGAGATGAACGAGAATGATGATTCAGATCCATTACCTCATAATCACCACCTTCATCTCTAATTGAAGCAATGTTTAATTCCCAAAGTCTAGTGAGGGTGGCAAGGGAGGAGCAGAGCACCTTTCCATCTTCTCTTCTCAGATTTGAAATCCTTAATTCCCTTAATTGAGTCAATTTCCCTATCTCTTTAACTGTTACGGATCCGCTACTGGCATCTATGGTATCTAATGTTTGTAAGGCAAGAAGCCCTCCCAATTTTGATGGAGCTTTAAACCCATGTAATCCAAAACTGTCATCAGAAACATCAACTTTTTGGTATACCATAAGATGCTCAAGCTTTTGTAGCTTCAGGATTTCCATGGGTAATTCCCTGACTTGAGTTTCGCCCAAACCCAAATACTCCAAATTTCGAAGCTTTCCTATGAATTTCGGGACTGCTTTGACTCCTGTCCTAGATAGGATCAGATGCCTGAGATGATACAAGTTGAAAATCTCATTTGGGATTTCCTCCAATGTCTTTTCATCACTCAAATCCAAAACCTTTAACAATCTGCCACTCTTTAAAACTTCTGATAACAAGGTTCTGGATATTAGTGGATTCATGGATTCAATCGTAATAAAGGATCGAAGGTGGTTAAAGCTATAACATTGGCTTTCTTGGTGCTGCTCGGTGTTGTTGCTGCTACTATGGACTACCAAACGGCGTACCTTCTCAGATAACCAACTTGTGTATTGTCCAGTAGTAATTGTGATCATATTTTGTTCCCTTGCCTTGGAAAGGACAACTTCTCGCACTAGATCATGGATTCGACAAGCATAGGGGATTCCCTCGTAAAAACTTTCAGTCACTTGAATTAGACTCCTATTGACAAGTTCTCTGAGGTAATTGTAGCCTACATCTTTCATTGTCAATCCTTCTCTCTTTCCTACAAATCTTTCAGCTGACCATAATTGAACAAGTCTATAACAACCTATTTCAAAATCCTCTGGGTAAATGCTTAAATACAACAAACAGGTCTTAAGATGGCAGGGCAGATCATTGTAACTGAGAGAAAGTATCTTTTTGACCCTGTCCAGCATACCAGAGCCTTCTAATTCACCTGCTAGGCTGCGTCGAACCATCTCCCATTCCTCTGAAATATTCAAGTCTTTCAAAGCCAAAAGCCCACTGATTGCAAGAACCGCAAGGGGCAATCCCTGACATTTCCCCAATATACCTTTTGCAACATCTGTTAGATGGGCAGGACAACCATTTCCTTTGAAGATCTTGTTGCAAAATAGGGTCCATGAATCCTCGAAAGACAGGGGCACCATTTTGTAGACATAATCTTGAGATTTGTTGCAAGATGCAGAGGCTACATCGGCTTTTCGTGTTGTTAGCATGACGCGATTGCCATAGCCATTTTCGGGCAGTGCAAATCTAATCGCATTCCAGAATTCCACATCCCATACATCATCAAACACAATTGCATACCTTCCGGCTTGTTGAAGAAAATCTTTAACACATTGTTTCAGCTGAATTGCAGTCATTGTCTCGATCGATTCTGGAACTGGTTTCTTCAAATCATTGTGTAACTGCCGAGTCAAGTCTTTCAGGAGCTCCTGGAAGTTGCATGGTTGAGAGACAGTTACAAAGGCACGAACTGGGAAATGCCTTCTAATACCTAAATCTTCGTGGACTTTTTTGACTAAGGTAGTTTTACCGAGTCCTCCCATGCCAACCACAGAAACGACTTTGAGTTTGGAATCATCTCCTTCGAGTAGTTGAGAAATTAGCTGTTGTTTGGGGTGGTCAATGCCAACTAGTTCAGCTTCTTCCACGAGAAGTGCATCATCCCTGCTATAGCGCCATGTTGTGTTGTTAACAGCAGCAAGAGACTCGCCCGCTTGGGTAGCAACACCAAACTCTGATTGGTATCTCTGATGCCCTTCAGATACATTCTTTACTCTGGCCTTGATGCTTTGTATTTGCACAGCAACCTTACGACGAGCTCGCAAAGTCTTTATGGAGTTGAAAATTTTCCTAACAGAGCCATAGAACCCTGTTGCATGATGATGGTGAGCAAAGCGAGCTACGAATTCATCAAGAACGTCTTCAGTGTCATAAGCTGCTTCTCGTACTTGCTTGATCCATTCTTGGAGCCTGAGATCAGCATCTTCTTCTTTTGTTTCTGCCACTCCCAGGAAAGCTCTCATGTGCCCCAACTCATCGCTGATGAGTTGAACCTCTTGGCGAAGCCCTCCCAATAATCTGCCCTCTTCACGCAGAAAAATTGAGAGCTGATTTAACACAAAAGAGAGAACTGTTTCTGCCATTTTCAGTCTTTTTCTTTAACTGAAGAAATATCAGGAAAGGAAGAGAGGCTCCTTGTACAGAGAAGGAAGATATGAGAGCTGGCCATCGGTTCGTAGTATGATGGACGATAATAATGTGTGGTTCAGTACTATTGGTCAAAAAATCAAAACCGCGTTCAGATTTGTGAAAGAAAAGGTGTGGGGCTGAACTTACAAGTCTTTGATCCTGCAAAGACTTCCAGACATATTCACATGTGAATCTGTCCTTTACTGATTTAATTTGTGGGACACTTGTGTTACATATCATCGTGATGACTCTAAAAGAACATTTATTTTTATTAATTGCTCTTAAACATGTTTTACAATTATTTATTTATCTTAAATATATTACACTACAAAACCTGCTACAGTGAATAATACACAAGTTTTTCTAAGTAATATTCTATCCATGCAATCCCAACTAAAAAAATAAAAGGAATTCTTTTATTGGCTTTTGCTGTTATTACCTTTTTACAGATTTCTATATCAGAACAGTTACCGGTGAAACTTGTTGCTAGTCATAACTTGGATGTCAATTACTCGAGCTATTTGAATCCTGCGACAACTAAAATCATATTCTTTAATTCTTTTGTAGGGGTTTGTCATCTTGATCCTGTTGCTACAGAAGAATTGTCAAAATCGTGTGAAAAAGTTAAGGATGAAATGCTAGAAAATGTATATCGTAATCACTAATCAGAAGAAAGAAATCGGTGGGAAAATGAAGCCACAATCGTCCAAAAAGGAAGAAAAAAACTAAAGCAATAGGATGGAAATTTAAAGAAAAAGCCAAACAGCGATTTGATTTTGAAAGACGAAGCTGCCTTGCCACAAAAGAAGCTAAAATGCAAAAATGAGGAAATTATCATGAAGACTTTTTTAGTCAGTGGAGTCTTCACTCTTCAGGGATATTTAATTGACAGTGGGTTCTTCGAACGGACAAAGGGGCAGCCATTTTGCAAAAGGAAGATTGTTTATATTTATATGCCTTGTGTTTATTTGTGTGTGTCTCTGTGTGTGTGTCAGTGTGCATTTTATTTTAAATTACTGTAATTTTGGGTTAATATTTGCCATGAGCGTTTGGAATGATAAATCACGCCAACTAAAGAAAGTCAAAAGTCATTTTTTCACTTTGTTTTTTTATGGGCACACATTAATAATTTAATATTGTTGGCCATTATTTTCTAAATATATAGAGTCTAAGCAGTTT